CTGTACATATAACTGTACTTGCTTCATCTCAGTAATTATTATTTGAAAAATTGCATGGAACTACAAAGGAAAGTAAATATGAAATCCTATAAAACCTTGAATATTCAAAATCAGAAACAGGACCCAACAACTCTGATATCCACTTAAGACTGAAAAAAAGAAGATAATTAGACTTTCTCTTTTCAATAGATTTTCTTTCTAATATTCACAAATGACTCTGACATTATCTAATATTCTCTTATATACAACCTTCTTGAAAGTATTAGCATTAGTAATTTTTAAAGTATGACTATACCAAAAGCAACTCTCATATTTACCCAAAAGAAGGAACCACTACTAAGAATCAAAGCCTAGTAATTCTGTTCTTCCCTGACAGGTGTTATGTGTTTTGGCATGGTATATGAAAATCATTTATGAGAAGAACAGGAAAAAATTAGTTGTTTTCACTATTGAAATAAATGATTAAGCAGATTTCTGAAACCTGAAATTGTCAATAGGATGAATGATCATCCTAAGAAATATTCTAGAGGCTATCATTACATAATATAAAAAGAACTGAAATAAAAATGTTAATAGGATATAAAGAAGTTAATCAGGGCTTTAGAGAGATATTTCTGAATTAGGTTGAGGGAATGAACATTCTTTGGACAAGGACTAAGCATAGGTTGCTATGGCTAACATCATATGAGACTAGTAGTATCAGGAATCTAAGGTACAGGTTATCCTGGCATTTGATAGGAGTGCTGACAATATTCCATAGGAAGTCTCACATTAACTGTGAGTGCTGTAAAATATAAATGATAATAAAAGTGAGAAAATAAACTTTAAAATACTTTCTTCTACATATTAAACTCACATTAAAAAGGGAGGCCATTATGGTTTTACTTTCTGCTCAGGCATTTTCTTTTCTTTTTTTTTTGGGTGGTCCGGTTATGGGGCCTGAACTCTGGGCCTGGTCACTGTCCCTCAGCTCTTCAGCTCAAGGCTAGCGCTCTACCACTTGAGCCATAGCGCCACTTCCGGCTTTTTTCTTATTGCTTATGTGGTGCTGAGGAATCGAACCCAGGGCCTCAGGCATGCAAGGCAAGCACTCTACCACTGAGCCACCTTCCCAGGCCTGTTCAGGCATTTTCTCTACACAGAGGAAAGATAATAAAAAGCTTGATAGGTATGAAAACTGAAACTCAGTCTCAAATGAAAATTAAGTAAAGGGGAAAAACTAAAGAAATAAAAAATTTTAAATATAAAAGACAAGCTCTGGAGCCACACTACATAATCTGATTCAAATACTGACTCTCCTCTGCTAGGCACTGGTAGATCACACTTATAATCCTAACTATTCGTAGAGCTGAGATCTAAGGATCCCAAATGGCAACTAGCCTGGACAGACAAATACAAGAGACTATTATCTCTAATTAATCAGCAAAAAGCTGGAAACTGAACATATGTCAAAGTGGTAGATCACCAGTCTTGAGCAAAATAGTTAAGCAAGGGACCCTGAGCTCAAGCCCTAGTACTGGCAACCCACGAGAAAGGGGAGCTTACTTAATTAATAGATAGGTGAACCTGAACAAGTTCCCATTTATCAATATTAATCTCAATTATTTCAGTTTTTTAAAAAATAAAACAATATTAGTGCATAACAGAGAGGCCAATAGTGATGAGAAAGTAAAAAAATCCAGGAAAAATAATTAAAACAGTATCAACCACTAAGTACAACAAATATTAATTATTGTTACCATATATAGTTAGCTTAAATTACTATGCCTGTTTTTAATTTCACAAGTACTAAATGAAACAATGACCTAGCTTATTTTGACTATTTTAATTGGGACTAATACCATTAACTTGGCTCATTTACATTTTTCTAGCTATAAAGACAGACATAATATTTCCCATCAGGTTAATCTGAAATTACTAGATAAGGCTAATTTTTAAAAAGCTCAAAAAGTAGTCATGTTTATTCTCAATCAATGCTCTAAAATCAAAACTGCACATCATCTGCATCAAATTGTTCCAACTCCTATACATTATGGTTTTAAAATCTGGCCCAAAACAGTTTACATTGCTTCCATTAAAAAAAAACAAAACAAAAAAAAAAAAACCTCAAAGGCAATAATTAAGCCTAAATAGATCTGAGTAGTAGCTTACTCGGTAATGGCTTCCAAAACTTGCTGTGTTGGGCTGCCACCTACAGGCTTCAATTTACCTATTGCTTTTTAAAGGTGTGAAAGTTTTAGATGAAACAATCAACACCAAGCAAATTATTTACTAGGACAAAGTCTGAAAACATCTATAGGACACACGAAAAATAAAATACGGTTTGTCCTTATGAGGATTTATGCTTTATTCTTAACAGAGAAAATATATCTATTTCAGGAGAACAAACAATGGTGAAATGCTGAAAAATTACTTATGTATTGCACTATACTTCTTGATATATTAAAAATGGAAATGATATATACCTAGCTTTCATTACAAAACAAAAGACTTCATAACCATTTTGTATTGACAGGTAACCTTATTAAATCACCATTTCTTAGATATATGTTCTAAATAAGATTTTGGCTACATTTCTGAAACACTTCCTGTCATTAACCTCATTTCTAGAATACTGGCTCATACTGAAGCACCTGGATTTCAGGAACACAAATCTGAAACTCACACACCATACTAAACTGTTATGTAAATGACAGAAACATGGTCTGTTTCTCTAAAGAGCTTTAAGAATTTAACTTATCACTGAATTTCTCTCATTTGATTACAGTAATTTTGAGCCCATGATAACATACTACAACAGATAAAAGGAACAATTTTCCAACATCTTACAGGGCTGGGAAGGTGGCTCAGTAGTAAAGTGCTTGTCCTGCATGCTTGAGGCCCTGGGTTCCATTCCTCAGCACCACATAAGTAGAAAAAGCCCAAAGTGGTGCGATGGCTCAAGTGGTAGAGCACTAACCTTGAGCTGAAGAGCTGAGGTTCAGGCCCCACAACAGAAAGAAAGGAAAGAAAGTCTATCTTACAGAATACCAGCAATCACACTTTTTTTTTGGTCGGTTGTGGGGACTGAACTCTGGACCTGGGTGCTGTTCCTGAGCTCTTCAGCTCAAGGCGAGCATTCTACCACTTGAGCCACAATGCCACTTCCTCCTATCAACTTTTGATAATTATGTTTTTAAAACACTCTCAACTTTCATATTCCAGAATTAGGTCTGGACTTAGTTCTTAAATTTTTCATTTGTTTAAAGTACAAATTATATAAAATCTTAGCTCTTTAGTTTCCTCCTATTTTAAGTCAGATGATTCCTGTTAATAAAAAAGGGGGGAGGGCTGGGAAGGTGGCTCAGTGGTAGAGTGCTTGCCTTGCATGCATGAGGCTCTGGGTTCAATTCCTCAGCATCATATAAGCAGAAAAGGCTGGAAGTGGCACTGTGGCTCAAGTGGTAGAGCGCTAGCTTTTGAGCTGAAGAGCTGAGGACAGCGCCCAGGCCCAGAGTTGGGCCCCACGACCAGCTAAAAAACAAAACAAAAAAAAAAAACAACACAAAAACAAAAAAGGGGGGGGAGTCTGCAAATAATCAAATTGTATAAATAACCACATCTGATTACAGAATATCTCAACCATACAAACCAATCAGAAATTAGCAACTAAAATCTGATGTTACTTTCAGATCATACAATTAGGAAAAATGAGTATAGGGGTCATCTTCCTTTGGTCAGGCCATGAATAAAAACTCAAACATGCAAAATAGGAGAAATGAGAAAAACAAGAAAATGATAAATTAGTAAAAGCAATAGCTCTTAAGACTTCCATAAAATTTCTTCACAATTCAAACTTCTATTTAAAAATAAGAAAGTGGAAAGAGTGTAGAGCCAAAAGAAAAGTTATTATCAGTCAACTGAGAACCAAAGAAGACCTCAGGCTCTCTGCCTCTCTCTGTTGAAGGAGAAACTACCCAATCTCCTCATCAGTCAGCAGGCAATTCTGTTCTAAGAATCTCAATCTGCCAGCCAGATCTGTTCAAATAAATTTTAAGAACTCTACTACTTTTCCACTTTCTAACGGTAGAATTTTATTTAAAAAACAAAACAAAACAAAAAACAGTAACACTCTTGAGCTGGGCCAGGTGGCACACACCTGAATCCCAGCAATCAGGAGGCTGAAGCAGGAGGACTGAGTTTGAGGCCAGCCTGTGCCACACAACAAGATCCTGTCTCAAAACCAATCAAACAATTCTCAAACACACACCCATATTCTATCTCCTTGCCCCTACAGTATGTCCTGTATTTGTATTGCATAAATACTAAAAACATGGACTTTACAAATACTGAACCAGTGTGCCAAGGGGAAGTAAGCCTTCTGAGTCATGTGTTCAATACCCAATCAGCACATGACTATGGTTTATGTGTTTCAGACTAAAAACAGCATAATGCTTAGAACTAATTTGAACAAGAAAAATCACCAACACACAAGCCACAAAAATACATGTTTTAAGAAAGCACTAAACAAAATATGAAAAGGGCATTTATTCTGAGACTAATGGCAAAGTGTTATTTTTTTCCAACTCATATGGTTGCTCATCAGGCAAATCAATTACTTTACTACTCAGTACATCTGTGAAAGACTAAAAAAAAAAAGCTTCAAGTATTGACTCAGGGATTACAAATAAATTGTATCAAGTAGGTAAATCAGGCAATACTAAAAGTTACCATAATCAGTATCAACTCTATATAAGACAAATATTCGATTTGTCATTGTAGTGCCAAACTGATTACCTCCAAAATGACAGTTCTGAAAACCCTAGAGTTATTTGCTACTATGAAACCAAGAGTTGTGGACTAGAGTCTGAGCTTTTCAAAAACTGAGTAATTTTCTCTGGACTTGATAGCCCATGATTGAACAGAAATGGAGGCTAGACCCTGAGGTCAGCTTGAACATAATGAAACCCTGTTTCAAAATAAAAACAGCAAAAGTACTTTTTCAAAGTACTATATCTTACCTGATATATTCTAAAAGGGATATAACGAAATCCATTTTCTTCTGCAGGATATTCCATGAGTTTCCGGTTGATGGCCCAAAACTGGTCAAATCTGTCTGAAAGATACAAATTACATTATTAAAAATGAGCAATATAATGGAATACACCTTGTTTGAAGACAGGAAGTTTGTTGAAACATCTTCCTCATCATTTATACAATAGTTTTTCTAAGTCCTTTTCTTTTCTTAGAAGATATTTTTTCACAGAATCCCAATCCAGGTGTCAGTGGCTCATGGCTATAATCCTAGCTACTGAGGAGGTTGAAGACTAAGGATCATGGTTCAAAACCAGGCCAGAAAGAAAAAGTCCATGACACACTTATCTCCAAAACCACCAGAAAACTGAAAGTGAGGCTGTGGTTCAAAGTGGTAACGCGCTAGCCTTGTGAAAAGGCTCAGAAACAGACCTAGGCCCTGAGTTCAAACCCCACCACCAACACAAAAGAGAGAGTTTGAGAGCATCTCAAAACCAGATACATGACCATTGTATAAGGCAAAGAACACTGTGTAGTAACAGAGATCTGGCTCTGATACCAATGTTAGCCAGAACCTGTATAAAAAAGAACCTGCATAAAAAAGGTATTATATATTTGTAGACTAAGAAAGCACTAAATATAAAAGTATTAAAGGTTTTGATGTGGAACTGACACTGCAAACTCTCAATTACAGCTAAACATCAGACTGACTAATCTTTTTTTTAATGTTTTGGATTCACTGAATTCTATACTATGATCTAATTCTACACTACTAAAATTTACACTAATATATAAGACTATAAATCTAAGCCACTAAATTCCACAATCTAGTGGTTTAAAAAAAAAGAATTCTAGCCGGTTAGCAGTGGCTCACGCCTGTAATCCTAGCTACTCAGGAGGCTGAGATCTGAGGATCTCAGTTCAAAGCCAGCCTGGGCAGGAAAGATGAGACTCTTATCTCCAATAAACCACTAGAAAACCGGAAGTGGTGCTATATCTCAAGTGGTAGAGCGCTTACTTTGAGCTGAAGAGCTGAGGGACAGGGCCCAGGCCCAGAGTTCAAGCCCCACGACAGAACAAAAAAAAAAAAATTCAGGGCTGGGAAGGTGGCTCAGAGGTAGGGCGCTTGCCTTGCATGCTAGAGGCCCTGGGTTCGATTCCTCAGCACCACATAAGCAAAAAGAAAAAAGCCAGAAGTGGCGCTGTGGCTCAAGTGGTAGAGCGCTAGCCTTGA